GCTCTCAGAGAACCACGGACCAAAACAGAATCTGTCGTGAGGAAACAAATTACAGTTTTCAGAGGCCCAGGCTCCTGGTAATGGATCTGTTTGAAGTATCAGTTTACTATTGATCACGTACAAACGTCTGTTGGCTGCTGTAAGAAAGGCACCGGGGGAAGGAGGAAATGAGCAAAAAGATGAGATGAAGGTCCAACTCTCAGTAGATCATCCTCATCAGACCAGTGTGTTAGCATGTGCTAGTAGTTCAGAGCATCAAGAAAACCACTTTTCACAGTAACTGATTTCTCTTTCTCTCTTGGCCACACGTTGGTCAAAGTGGTAAATGCATTTGCCTTACAGCAAAAGGTCAGTCAGTCAGTTCATTCCTCACTTACAGTCTTTTGTATGTGATGCTGGGATTGGTTCCAGCCCGACTGCGACTCTACTTAAAAGTAGTAGTAGGAAATGAATGAAAAGGTGTAAATACATTTACGGTGTTGATCAGACTAAATCAACACCTAGACTTTCTCCTCACACTGTATTAATAAAGTAAACCAGTTCTAACCCGTGCACATGCCCAGCATCACACCAGCACTCGGAGACAGTCGTGGCTCTGATCACACCTCCCCACATCACTCCTTTGGTTCAACACTCTGGACTAAAAATAGGAAAGAGGCGCCGACTGTTAGGAAACGCTGTGAGGCTGCGGAGACTTTCTTGTAATTTTGACAGGGAACGGGAAAAACACAAGAAACGGTGACATGACGACGGATTTAAAATGCACAGAAATACATCTGGAACACATCAAATGTGAAGGAAATCATGCGGAACCAGAGTTTTCTTGCAGCGTCATCCTCCAGCAGATTTGTTGCTCAGAGCTGCCATGTTTTTGTTTTCAACACATTTTCTACCGTTTGGTTTTTTCGCTCTAGTTCTTGTTTATGTACAGCAGAAAAATGTAGTTAAAATTAGCTTTGATTTAAAATTACTGCATCAATTAGTTTTTCCCCTCGTGCTGCGTCAGCCTCGCAGCACCAACACACACTTTCTTTCTAGACAAGATCAATAATGTAGCTTTACTGCTGTGAGGTTTGAAAAAACCTGACCGGCCTCTTCATTAAAATGAGAGTCAGCAACTTTTCTAACACCACCAACTGGTCAGAACTGGAAGCTGCGGTCACTTTGATTACTGTACGTACAGCAAACACACGCTGTTGTCTTTATAGATTAGACACAAAGACGGGGGTGAAGAAAAAGCCACAGTGGATTCACAAAAAAAAAACGTCTAATTTTAGTTGATTGTAACAGAAAGATACACAAAAAAAAACGACCATTTGCAATCACAGAATCACAAGAAAAAAAAAAAGTCTAATTTTAGTTGATTGTAACAGAAATACAAAAAAAACGACCATTTGCAATCACAGCAAACGTACCAGCAGTCGTCAAAATATCCCATAATTCCAGGATGTAGCCGTTCTAATACACAGTCATTCCATGTGTTAAATGTACAGCAAAAATGTTTTCCTTTCACCAAAGCACCTGGAGATAAAATACCAACCCAACAAAAATGTTTCAAACCAAACCAACTACATCAGGCGTTCCCAACCTCAGGTTCACGGACTGATACTGGACCAGATTCAGACTCTGAATCTAACAGAATAAAAGGTTAGATACGGCTGAACTGATTGAGATCTCAACTGTCTATCATCTCACGTTAACTAAGTCGAGGTCGTAGAAAACGTTGACCGAGCAGCTAACTCGTGTACGCAGCAGCCCCCGCTCTCTTTCTAAGAATTTAAAGCGCTCTTGTTCCAATTCTGCCACCAGTGAGATATTACACAATGAGTCTGTGAGCTGCAGAGGCCGAGGCCTCTCACACCGTCCAGCTCCGTCTGGGTGTAATTGCTGGTAAGTGACAAATAAGGGCTCAGCACATGCCACCGAATCACGGCGTGTAACAGACGGCAGTGTCCACGCAGAGAGAGAGAGGAGCCGGCGTGACCTTATTTACTGTCACTGTTCCACATCGTCAAACAATCCAGCTCTGTATCAGCACAACCACGGCCAATCACAAGCTTCGTTTAAAAAAAAAAAGAGCCACGTGTGATTTGATTTACCTTCATTAAAATAGAAAATGTCCTTTTGCACATTCTTCTTTTATCTAATAAGAAACATTCACAACACAAGTGTCTTCTTCTCCTCCACCTCCAGTGTCGCCTTCACTCTCTCTGAACCGTACGTCACAGCGGATCTCACTACTGCCTTATAAACCTGACCTTTCAATCTGCAAAATTTTATATGCAATGAGGTCTTTTATGTGATTCAAAAAAATGTTTTTTTGTTCAGAAGGAAGACATTTTTTTACCAGTTTGGTTGTGTTGTTTCACCTTTTACAAATGTAAAGTTCTAATAAACAGGAAATCTCATTCTCTGGACGAAACGATTAAAAAATAATAATATGTTTCTATAACATCACTCTCCATCTACCGCGGCTCAGTAAACGACCTCTGTATGCTTTGTTTTTCTAATTTACAAAATTCTCTGCGGCAGAGTGAAGGGATGGTGCAGGAGGGAGAGAGAGAATGAATAAATTACAGTGTTTTTCTAGTCTGAGACAAACAGCAGGTGGGAGTGAGGATGAGGGTGGGCTGGGCTGTAAGTGAGAGTGCTGGGGTGGAGGAAAAGAGGATGTAAGGTAAAAAAAAACAAAGTGAGAGTGCTGGGGTGGAGGAAAAGATTCTTAGGAGGTGAGTGATTAAGGAAGCCGGCACAGAGTGAAGCAGAGGCAGAGGCGGAGCGAGCGAGCGAGGAGGCTGGATGGATACGAGTGCCACGGTGTTTCTGCAGCGGCAGCCCAGGTTTGATGAATGGGCTGCAGACACCGCCGAACAGCTGACTGCAAACATCTCTACTGTGAAAACGCTGCCATCAGTGGGCTGCTGTTTGTAGTTATTAATGCGTTTCTACAGAAAGAGAATCAGAAACTCTATAACGTGATGTTTACAACCGAGCGACAACAGATTTACTACAGTAATCGGTTGTTTTGTCCAGAAATACTCTTAGTCTTTTTCAGCCTGTCTCGAGAAAATATGAAGAGACGTTCAAAAAAATATATTGTCCTGTCAAATTAACGCGCTAAATTTCAAAAATATTTGTTATTATATATATATATATATTAGCTAAATTTAAAAAATATTTGTTATTATATATACAGTATATATATTTGCTTTAATACACAGTCGATACACGTTATTTACACATGTTGCAGAAAGCCATGATCTAAGTTAGCGTGCAGACAACTTTCTGGGGTAATTATATAAATATTCCAAATATTCCAAAAGAAAAGTATACAAGTATTTAATATGCAAAAATAAACAAGTAACTGAGAAACTCTGTTCTCTACTGTAAATGCAAACCGAGACATTTCAGAGACGGTTTCATATCTGGAAGGTCATCGCAAACTGGGATGGAAAATCGATTCATCCTGTGTTTTTGTAGTGAGTGAAAACATTGAAACAATGTTTCGTTTCAGTGAACAGAACGGCCTTTTCTCTTCGCTGAAACGGACTTCGTGCCGTCACAGTTTAACAAGTAAAAATAAGGTTTATCGTCGCCTCAGACGGAGGACAACACGGTCTGGATGACACTGAGACTCATGACACAACAAAACATCTTCCCCCTTTTGGACGTCAGACGGTTCGTGACCAACCGGCGCTTCATCATTTCACGCTATTGAAATATTACACGGCGATTCCAACAAGTTACGATCGTGATTTCAGACGCGGTCGTTGTCCCAGCTGAAGTTTAACGTCATTGGAAATGAACTTCTCACACCTTACTTTCCAAGAAGAACCACTTCAAACGTGTCCCTTCATCAACGGAATCCAGACAGTGACTTGACAGATTTTTTACTTTACTCAAAACCAACATAGGGTTTGGGGACCAGGTCCTGGACAGAGACAGTGGTCCTGCTACGACACAACCGCAGCTCCTTTAAAGCTGCCGCTAATCCTTAACAAAAAAACAGAGCGTTATTAGTGAACGCCTCCTCCTGAAACAAACAGTTCTATTATTTGTCCCAGTTGTGTCACTTTGAAGATGCTTCAAGCCACTGGAAATAATTAGCTCCAAGAAACTGTTCTCTGTACTCATTCACTGCCTCGGAGTAAAACTTTAAATACTTGGAGTTTTACTCGACCAACAGTGACTTTTCCTCCTGTCGTCTCCAGCAGCTGGACATCTGACTAATGTCACGTCCTCATCAGTTGGACAACATGTGATGTTTGTTTCTTTAATGTTTAAATGTCATTGTCCAAGGCTGTTGTCCCTTTAAAAAAACACTGGAACACATCATGATAATTCAATAACTCTGTGGACTGAATGGTGTCTTCAGACTGATTACAACAGTGGTCTCCTGATTACTGTCCTGGAGTAAACACACCACACACTACAAAAAAACAAAAAAAACTACCCAGGAATATTATGGCGTTATTATTATTATTGTTGTTATTTTTAGTATTATTAGATTTTTTTCAGGTCGTGGTCTGAACACCTCGACTTGAGATAACTGCTCAAACCTGTTAGTGTTGGTTAGAAAACAGCACGAAGATTCATGTGAACTGTCATTATTATTATTCTGGGCGTGATTTGAATTCAAGGTCTCAGGGAATCCCAGCTGTGATTGGTCAATGGTGAGGTCACATTCACACCAAAGGTCAAATATCTGTGATTGGTCACATTCACACCAAAGGTCAAATATCTGTTATATGTTTATGGACCGTTAGGAGAAACTGAAGAAAACTCACACATGCAGTACTGTTCGCAGCCACTATGTCAACATACATAACATCGCAGAAACATCAGGATTCTGAATCAGGGTTCCGATCAGTGAACGCACTAACCCCTGAATCCACCGTGTGACGTTTTATTTCATGAATAATTCAATTGTAGCCACTGCCGTTTTTCTGTGTAACGGACGTGATATCTCCGTGACAGAGATGATTGTTTTCATTACTTACTGAAGGCCGTCACAGCCAGGATGAGAGTGACCACGATGGAGATCCAGGACACCCACAGGGCCTTCTTCCTGTAGTTCTGAGCCTCGTGAGGCTTGAGGCGAGTGCTGCTCTCCAGAAGACCTGTAGAGGGCGCAAGAGAGAGAAATGGGCTTTCTGGTGGTTTTGTGGAAGAAATACATCAAAATACTTAAAGTGCTGCCACCTGCAGGCTACCACAACCACACGACCTAGCATTTAACTGTGTTTGTCAGTTTACCATAATGTGAATAAAGAGGAATAATTCACAAAAAGGCACGTGAAGCCGAAAGAAGTGCTGAGGATTTTTTATCGATTCCAACTTTTAATCTGCTTAATCCCCGGGCAGCTGTAGATTTACTGTGATTAATCAGGATTACTGCTGATTAATTCAATCATGATTAATCGAGATAAACAAAAAAAAAAATTTTACTCTGTAAATCATTGGCACACACACAAAGAACAGCAGGTAGATGTTTTGTTTTTAATTTTTTGTTTTATTTTTGTGTCTAAATTTTTAACAGGGAAAACTATCAAGAAAAATATGCAACTTTTAAAAAAAATTATTTTTCCCACAGTGTGTGTAAATAACGGCAAATGACTCGTCTGTGCAGTGAAGAGGATGAAGAATAAAGTATTGTATTTTAAAGCCATCTGAAGATATTTTTAAAAATGTATTTGTGTGTTACAGTGTGAACAACAAACACAATTCCCTGGTACTCTGTGGTGGATGGTGTTAAAAATGTATCTGTGTGTGTGTCTTCATGGGACGCTGACATGTTACAGTGTGAACAACAACCACTTATTCCCTGGTACTCTGTGGTGGATGGTGACCTCTTTTTTTTCCCCACCAACCAACTCCCAAATGACTTCTGACAGAGTCAGTCATACGATGAGGTTCCTCCCAACCAGGTTTCAGATGGAATTAAAAATCCTCTTATTTATGAAGACACGTTGACGTTGCTCTAAGAGACAAAAACGCCGTCCAGACTCTGGGCTGCCTGAAGCTGTTTCCATTATCATGAAACGTGAGGCTCTGCAGAGTCATGTAATATTTATAAGCTCCAACTTTCATATCCAACTGAGCTTTCAAAGCAATCACTTCTCTCTCTCTACAGATCCTGCTACCTCAGCACCAGAACCTGTGGGCTCCGCTGAAGAAACAAGGGGAACAAGAATACTTTATTATGAAGGAAGTATTTTTAACCCATTCAGTGAAACCAAACAGACTGGGTTGATGTTGATGTTGATGTACTTTGGGACACAAACGGACCTCTGGGACTTTCTTTAGACATTTATCCTTCAGAAATCGTTCAGCTCTTTGAGAAAATCCCCTCAGTGTCTGAACGTCAAGAAAAAGGAATCAATCCAGAAACAACTGGTGATAGTGACTCACGAGGTCACAGGGCTGTCCTCTGTGACGTCTGAGGACTGACGGAGACACAGAGGTAGAAACGTTAGCAGTGTTCCTTAGCGGAGTGCTGTTTAGCTGCTAGCTCTTTCAACTTAATAATACGCCTTCCTCTTGTGTCTTCACCCACATTTATGTGACAGATATTTTAGAATCAAGGTTCCAGTTCTGAGACCAACGCTCTTAGTTTAAATTCTTTGTCCGGTTTTGATCCGTTATTTTTTTTATCTTTGTTGCTCCACTAGGGGATGCGCCCTCTATTTTGAGAACCACCACAATATGGTTGGGTATGAACACATTGTGGTTTTGCATTTGTAACTGATTCTACAGTTTAATGTAATCACATTACGGAGTAAATAATCCCAGTCACATCCGTCTCTTATGTGAAATCAGTTAAGATGAGTGTAATTAATATCTGTTAAAATGCCGTACGTCCTCAGAGACACAGAGTCGTCACGTGCATTTGTACATGAACGTTCGCTCTGATTCTACGGGCAGTAAATCACATGGATGAAGGTGCAGAAATGACGTCCGTCCAACCAAGATGTCGATTCTGCAGAAATGACGTCCGTCCAACCAAGAACTGTTCATTTTCTAGTCCTGAACTCACAGTTACACAAAGTTCACAGCCAGAACCTCTAAATGTCTTAAGTCTGTACAAATGTACTCGTCTTTCTGAGCAATATTTATTTCTAAAGGTGACTATACGAGAGCAGCTCCTACTGTCAGTCTGTCCTTGGTGGAAACAACTGGAGGTTTCCTCTGAATATCACTGTTAACTGTTGACTCATGGAGTCTGCTCTGAAGCTTTGTAGAGAAAACTTCATTAGATTAACTGGTCAAGAGTTGTCTCTGTGTGTGTGTCTGTGTGTGTGTCTGTGTGTCTGTGTGTGTGTGTGTGTGTGTGCTTCGTGGAGAGGAAGTGAAGCAGCATGGATAAACCTCTCTGCTCACATGACCCCACACTGCAGCATCAACACAACACATGTGCTCAACATCTCAGTCCTAACGTCGTGACCACATACACGTTGTGTCATTTGTGTGTGTTTGTCATGATGACACACAACTTCCCCATTTCTAAAAAAATATTTTGAAATTTGAAAAATTCACAAACACAAGAAGAAGAAGAAGATTAAAAACTCCAATAAAAGTCCAAACGTCTTTTCCCAGCATGGATCAAAACTACACGACACCGTCACCGATACTATTAGACCTGATGCTGTACTTCAATATTTACACTTGAGAAAGTGGCAATCCAGCAACCAGCAACCAGCAACCAGCAACCAGCAACACTCTAATACCAAGTCACCTTTGAGTTGAGACTCATTTGTTTATTGGAACGTGGAAACAGTTTAAGACGTAAAAGCTCTGCTCACTTTCTGTCCAGCCGACTGTGTCGACAACGAAGACGGTGGAATACGTCTGTTTTTCCTTTAACTTTATTTTTGTGTATTTTATCTTTTACTTAAAGCATCGACGGTTTCACAGCGTTTGGGTTCGGTCAGTCAGAGGAAAGAGAAAAATTCTAGTGTTGCAAAGTGGAAAAAAATGTTTTTGAAGATTTGGAAGCACGAGGCAGTCATTCTGTCACAGATATGTGGTCTGTTTGTATCCATTTATCTCAGAGACCTTTTTCCAGAAAATTACACGCTAGGACAAGATGACAGCTAGCAGCTCCATCTGTCACAGCAGGACAAGATTTATGACTCATTAACGAGCGTCTAAAAAAAGCTTTATGAAGATTAAGAAGTCGAGAAGGAAAAAAAACCAAGTAGCGTTCCTGAATTATAACGACTGTTTGTCAACCATCCGACTCTGACACGATCACAGCTACTGCTTCAACTCCCTTTGTTTAAAACACTGTGGAAACTACAACTAAAGAACAATTTATTTGGGGGCCCCGAGCCCTACTTTGGTAACCACTGAGGAACATGAACTTTTAGCTCGTCTCTAAGGCCGGAATCAACCGTATGAGTTCAACATCAAAACGTACTAAACTTTTTTACTTTAACGGAATAGAAGGAGAAGAGAGATGTCGCTGTTCACGACACGGGTGCTGAAAAGTGACAGAGCATCGATGAACGCAATAAATAACTATAGAGTCACATGACATGAGGACTGCTCTGATTGGAGGACAGCTGCATCGGATGGATGAACTGATGGATGATGGATGAACTGATAAATTGATGGATGAACTGATGGATGGATGAAATGATGGATGGATGAACTGATGGATGGATGAATAGGCAAATGATGGGTGAATGGATGAATTGATGACTAGATTGATGATTGGATGGATGAATGATGACCACACACACTTGTCGTCTTCCTTTATGGCATTTTTCAGAAGGCAAATGATGGGTGAATGGATGAATTGATGACTAGATTGATGGGTGGATGGATGATTGGATGGATGGATGATGACCACACACACCCGTCTTCCTCTCGTCTTCCTTTATGGCATTTTTCAGATTCTGATTTTTGTTATTTTGGCCAGAACTTAAACACAAGTCACTGTTTGTGGTCTGTTCTTCTCCTGTGTTTTAAAATAGAAACTAAAACAAACACATGCAGTACCCACTGTGACCACAGTCCTCTGCCCTGGTTGGTCTCTCTACACAGATAATACCCTCTCATTATCCACTGAGGAATGTTTGTTTCTTTGCTTTTAAGTATATTAGACGACAAATGGGATTAAACTAATTGGACTGGGGGAGGGGGGCGACGGTGGGGGGGGGAGTGTCACAAACACACACACAAATTAAATTCTGACTTTTGTGAGGATTAGTGAGCTTACAGCTTACATGTGATGAGCATTAGAAGTCAGCTTTAAAGCTGAACCAGGGCCCAACATGTGGAGGCGCTCAACGCCAAATTCACTACCAACACTGATGAATGAACGACATGGTAAAACCGAACGAACCGAACGAACCGAAAAACTAGTTGAGGTTCGAGCCAGTTGGCAGCTGCTACAGAGAGATGTGTTTTTTATTTGCACATTTAACATGAATCTAAATGTTAAAAGTTCAGTTCGATCAGAATGTCAGTCTGTGTCGTCTCTATGACTGACATCACACTCTACGT